TAGCATTTCTAAAAACCGATTAATATCAAATATCTAATATTTCAAATATAAATATTTCAAATTTAACTTATTTGAGCATATCTCACACATTTTAAGAGCTTAGCTTAATAAATAGTTTATCATAAAAAATATTCATATTTTCTACACTACGAAAGCTTCCGATATTGTCATAAAATCAGAGAAAAAGAATTTTAAAATGCTTCAGGGTATCTCCTAGTCAGGTACTCTCTATCGGATCTTTTTTGAATATATAAAAATTCCCCATTTCGGAAATTTGTTCAAGCAAACTGACATTCTTATTTCTCTGAATACATAAGATATGTATATAAGATATATATATATATACTTTTTGTTTTTATATATATATATATATCTTATATACATGTCTTATATATATATACTTTTTTTTTTTTTTTTTTTTTTGGGTACGTTAGTCACGTTTTAGTTGTTCAACATTCAAGTGATAAAAAGCGTGCGAAAGAGTAGGCACATTGGTTAGAGCGGGCAGGCAACAAAACAAATTCCAGATGCGTTGCCTAAGTTCAAATAAGAATTGTTTTCTTATTTTGCTTAATTTGTTTTTTTTTTTCGGCAATTGAGAGTTTTGCTTGGTGAGCTGCATAAATCTGGCTGAGCTTCAATTTTCAGCCAAATGCCTATAAAAGTAAATCAGCTCGACTTTTGCAGCTAAATTCCTCAGTTCGTTTGTTTCTCTATACATATCTTGGTATATATATATTTTTTCCACATATGCTTCGCTGGCGGCGCCAATTAATTTGTGTGCTTAATTCAGCTAATTATTCCAAGCAATAAAATTCTCAATAGATGCGTAGATTGTGCGGGTTGTAAGTGGGGCCAACTGGATTGCCAGTGGCTGGAGGCACAGCACCGACACCTAAGCGCAAGGCAAAGAGACCCACAGCTTAGGGCTAAGAGCACGTGCTAGACAAGGACAAGGACGCGTTCGGCGACACTTTTAATTCAATTCGCAAAGGTTCCTTGGCACAGCGAGTCTCTTTTTTATATACATATATACCAGTCTTTATATATATATTTTTTTGTATTTAGCTTAACAGCACAAATAAAAATAGAAATAAAAAGCAAGGCGACATTTAAATTCAAATTGTTGAAGACGCTGACGAAGTTGCCGGCGCCACACGTCGGATTAGTTTTATGTGCGCCAAGCAGGACCAGCTTCAGCTGGAGTCGCCGTCTTGGGCGTTCCATTGGTGAGAGACGTTGCTGGTCGTTTGCCATTGGCTGGGCGAGCAGCCATGCAATTGTTAAAATCGAATTAAGCCACGGTGTCGCATACTTTTGATCTCCTTGACGCCACCAGCGCTGCCACAGCCAATGAAATGTTACAAATCCCTGCCACTCTGCACTGTCCCTGCCCGTTGGCGTACTGTCTCTGTGCTGGCAATGTCCTTACATTGTCCTTGCCAGTCCAAGGTATCTCGACCCCGAGCAACCAACGCCAACGCCAACGCCAACTCCAACTCCAACTCCAATTCCAGCAGCGATTGCGATTTCGGTTTCAATTTCAGTTGCTGGCACAAATGAAATTAAATGAAGATTAGTCGTGTGCTCGCTCCCAGATTATTCCAAGAAATAAAAATCCTCACGATACGAGTGTCGCAGTCGCAGCAGTACTCAACCGCTGGCTGGCTGGCCTGCTCCATCTCAATGTACTCATTATTTTTTCGTTCGTTTTTGTCTGCTGGCTGGAGCGGCTTTTGCTTTTATTTCATTTGACTTTTTATGACGCTTGAGGTGATTTGCCCAAGTTCAGCGTCTCACTCCGCTCCCTCATCCACGCCCATTAAAGCTAGCGAAGGGGGGCGTGTCAAAGGCATTGCCCAAATCTGCGCAAATCACAAGCTACATTTGGCCCGCAAATGATGGCCAGCATTTGCTTTGGCAAAGTTCCTCAAATGCTTTGGTGCTGTTCAAATTACTTTCGTGCCCCCGGCCGATATTGTTTTAATATTCCCATTAAAAGTGCGAATGACATCCGAAATGTTATGCAATCTAACGCCTTAGATAACCAAAGTTTTCTAATTTTTTTATAGTTTTTTTTTTTAATTAAATTAAAATTTTGCTTTACAATTTTAATTTTGATTCTTTATTTATCTTTATTTTATGTGCATAAGATTTAATTTTGCTGATCACAAGCTATAGCAATATATGCCTTTGTTTTTGTATTTGTAATTCAATTAAATTTGTGTTTGTTGTCAGCTAATTCAAGTCTATAGTCTTTGAAAATGTAAGAATATGTATATGTAATTATATGTAAAATATAAAATATTTACTATAGTAAAGGCTTTGGAAATTCCCAAAGCTTAGCGCTCTAATCTGTGCCTGCCAATTCAAATTTTGTAGAAATTAATCATATTTAGCTTATAGGATTATTTAAAGAAGTTGTATATACATATATATATATATATACATAAATATATATATATATATATATATATATATATATATATATATATATATATATATTAAGTTGTTTATTACTTAACTATTTTTGAAGTACTTTTTTTTTGTGTAAAGCTTAAGATGAGAGTTTTTGGTAAATAATTATGCTTGGAAACAATTTGAATTTGAATTTGATAAACAATTTTCAAATTGGTTTGAAATAACATAATTAAAGAAGTTCAGCTCTGAAGGCAGGGAAGGTAAAACTGTAGGAGTCTTTAGCCGAAATTATTTTTAGAACTGTTTCTAAATAAAGATTTCTATAAAATTTGATGCCTTTGCATTTGCTTTGCTTTGACTAATCTTTGCATCAAGTTAGAGTCTTGGATTTGTATTAAAAAGGGACACTTAATTCCAAACACTTGATTATCCTTATCACTTATGAGATCTAGATGTGCCTGTTTCTCGTCTCTCAAAGAGTTTTCTTTGACATTTGATTACCCTTTCAGCCTATCATTGATGAAATCTAAATGTGTATCCCAGAAGTGGACTTCTACAAAAGAATTCTCCGATTTAGCTCATCATAGTCTTAGATTTTTTTCAAAAATCTGACTTAATCCTCAACACTTGATTAACCCCTTTTCACGCCTTGGCCAGCTGCTTGATCACGTGTTCAATTAAAAGAACTTGCCTTTAATTGCTAACCAATTTGCTTTCATCACACAGAGCTGACAGCCTGGACACACTTTCTCGCTGGCAGCCGTTGCTGTTGACATTTTTTGCATATTAATTGAAGACGGACTCGGACTTGGCCACCCTTGGCTTAATTTGCGGTAAGTTCATTAAGTAATAAAACATAAATTTCATTTTTTTCCAGTTTTTTTCTCTGTGTTTTTTGTTCTTCGGCATCCCAGCAGGCAAGATGTTGGTAATTTTTTTTTAATACTTTGCATATTTCTTTAATGAATTAATTCTGTTTTGGTTTTGCTTTTGGTTTTTGTTGATTCACCGTTCAGTGGACTTTGATAAAGGCGCAAAGTCGCTGGCGATAAAAAGGCCAAGGGAAATGCAGAAGAAAAAAACAGCATTCATAATTTATGCAAAATATATTAACAGAAAATAAAGAAAAAATGAAATGCGCTGAGGAAAGCGGAAAACGTGTTTTCATCAAAGTTTGACTGAACGTCTGTTAATTATGCGCTCGCCGCAAAACTTTTCTATCAATTTTTATTTCATTTCAGTTTTTTTGGGCAAAAACTTGTTTGCATTTGAGCGCCAAAAAACATGTTTTGCATCCGAAAATGTATTTGATACACAGTTTGCTGCGATTTAATTGGCTCCTCTGGGCATGATCAAAATATGGCATCAAATTGCGACGCATCCAGTGGTAAGTCGCGAGTGGCAAGTGTTGTTAAAGCGTGTCGGGGTCGGGTTCGAGTTCGGGTTTTGAGTGTTGCCTTTTGACTGTTTCAAAATGTTGTCACTTTTTTTCTCTTTGTACTCAAATTTGTTGGAAATGTTGTTGCTGTTGCTGTTGCTGTTGACATATGTGCCCGCAAATGAGCCGTGCAATTGTCGTCGGGGCCTGGCATATTGACAGCTTCGAACTGCGCTGCACACAGTCGTTGCATTCAAGATGGAAGTGCACTCCTCTCGCGGGAATCGTCTCAAATTTCCGACGTGCGCACAGCTTGTGACTGACAACTATTCGTCTATCTGCTGCTCTGTCCGTCCATCTGTCCCTCTCTCTATCTGTCTGTCTGTCGCACTGTCTATCTGTAAGCCTCTGTGTCTGTTCGGCCAGCTGTACATTGCCCCAAGTAGTCAACTTGATAAGCGTGTCGATATACGTGCCTTTTGGAACACTGGCAGAGATTGCTAATACTATGCAACAAAATTGGGGTTTCAAGTTTAAATATAAGAATCAAAGTAGAGTGAAAACCAAATGTGACATAATCTTAGATTTTGAGTCATTATTTGCAGTAGTGTTTCCCAACAGAAAGATAATAGAAATTACTTTTTATGTATTTTAATTAATATATAATATATGGAGGGGTCTTTATATGAATGATGTATGTATATTAGAACTTACATATGTATTCACACACATATATATAGCAACGGAAGGGAAATGCTTAAGTATCTTCAAAAGAAACGTCCAAAAAGCCACATAAGTAATGCTAAGATCATGAGAATCGCAAAGAAAGGCTGTTTTCAATATATAATTACTGTAAGAGAAAATTTGTTTTTTTTTTTTTGTAAAGAACATTAGTTTATGTATACAAATATACCTATATATATATATATATATATGTTAAAGTTTTGGAACGTAATCATACCTATATAAATACCCAAGCTCAACTATACGATATACTACTCAAAGCATTTGACACTAGAACATGAAAATTACGAAGTAGCTTTGTTTAACATACTCAGCTGCTAGCTTACAACATACACATCTACTTGTTTCCTAACCCTGATGACTAGTGTAGAGCTGACAAACGTTTGCCTGTGTGTCAGCCCGTCAGTAAACAAATAATCGTGCCTGCAGGCCAATGCATAGCTGTTGCTGCGACAATTAGTTCGAGTTACCTTCGAGCCGAGCCGAGCTGAGCTGAGCTGAGTTGAGCGGCGCAGTTCGATCTGTTATCTGCGTCAAGTGCTATCTGTTCACGGGCTGTGAATCTGTGCTGTTATCAGTGACGCTGCGCACGGTTCACCTTTGACCGGGCGATAAGACGCTGCTGGCAGCCGTTTGGACCTGTTTTGAGATCATTCGCACAGCGCATTCCATTCCCAACACTCGAGTCACCATGATGAATACCGCAGCGATGTCACTGTCGCTGCTGCTGCTGCTGGTGGTCGCGCTGGCCAACGCTGAGGTTGTTCACGTCCAAAACTGTCCGGATTCTGTGAATCAGTGCACCATTGATGAGGTCCGCGTGGATCCGTGTCCGCAAGCTCTGCAAAATGCGGCCTGTCGTATACGCCGCCGTCGTCCGACACAAATGTCCTTTAAGTATACACCACAGTTTGACGCCGATCAACTGGAGGCCTCGCTGGTCTGGGCGAAGAGCGAAACGGAGGAGCTACCGCTGGTCACGCTGGAACGGGATGCCTGCAAGGCCACCAGCTGCCCGGTTAAGGCCGGCGTTCAAGGAACCTACACAGTCGAAGTGCCCATCGAGGCCAAGTTTCCAGTGAGCACCTATACCATACGCTGGGCCCTCAAGGATCCAGTGAGCAGCAAACGCTGCTGCTTCTCCGTCGACATTAAGGTGGTGCGCTAGGCCGGCAGATGGGCGTAGTGGTGCAATAAAATGCAGTTTTTGCTTAATAAATTTGTGTTTTCTTTGCTTTTTTTGGGCTCTTGTTTTAATTATTTTCTAGCAATGTCTCATTTAGACTATTGGACGCTGGGGCATTGGGAATGGGACTACGAATTGCGTCATGGCCATCAACCTGCGAGGCTAATGAAATGCCGCTGGGCCCTGCGGCCAGGCGGCGTTAAGTCAACAGGGAGTAAAAAACTTTGATTGAACTTTTGGGTGCCATAAAAACAGCCCAACCCCCACTCCCACGCCACCATTCATTCATTCCCATTTCTGTCTCGGCTACTTATCAGCGTCGTCAAACAATTAAAAATTGAGCACTTAAGTTGTGGTCATAAAATCATTTGTTTTTCTTTTTATTGTTTTTCTACATTTTTTCCGCGCTGTGTTTTTTTCTTCTCTTTTTCATGATGGAAAATTCAAATAGCAATAATTTCAAATCACTTTTTCTTTTCGTTTTTTTGTTTACCTAAACGAAAAAATGTTTACGCTTTTCGGCGGGGCTGTTGAGAATTGTTGTCGAGGCAAAAGAAAGCTGATAAGCACAGCATTTTACGCCCCAACTCCAGAAACAACAGCAACAACAACAACCACAACAACCACAGCATCCACTTGAGTTAGTAAACAATGCATTGACATACGAAATTATGAAACACAATTCAGTTCTTTATGCTGAGGCAAGTTTGTAGCTCGCCCAGAGATCTAATAATTTATGTGGAAGTGGAGTTTGTAATTGGAGCAGCGGACAATTTAGTCGAGTGGACTATTCTCGCCGTACTTGTAGCCGAGCATGTAGGGCGTCTTGGTTAGCTGCGACATGATGAGGCACTTGACGGTCTCGAAGCATTCGGTGGCATTCACATAGATCACCTCGCGTCGATGACTGAGATAGGTATTGAGCAGGGGCTCGCTTTTGCGGAACTGCTGCATCTGATAGTCCATATAGGTGATGTTGTCCTGCGGGCAGGGCGCATATTTGCGCATCAGCAGGCGCATGCGTGCCGTCTGCTCGTCGACCTGTAGGAAGACCAGGCGATTGGGCGGCACGCTGAAGGTCTCGAAGAGCTCCCGGGCCTCACATCTATTATTCGGATAGTTGATCAGTATCCAGCCGCGATGCAGTGCATCGTCCTGCAACAAACGCTTCTGTATGATGTTGCCAATAGCCTCGGATATCTTATAGGCCGAACGATTCTCGATGCCTTGATGCAGCATCGTCACATCCTTATCTCGTGCGGGCTCATTGATGTGGTGATAGGCCAGCGTATCGGCATCCAGTATCAGCAGATTCCACCGCTGGGCCAGCACATGAGCCAGCGAGCGACGGCCCGAGCCGACGCGTCCGTGCAGCACGATGCGATGAAAGAAGTTCTTCGGCAGCTGAAAGTAGTCGGCATCGATGCCCTGATGAAAGGCATTCAAGGCCTTCGAGTAGATTTCTTGCGCTATATTCCGTATATTACTGCCCAACCAAATACGCACATCGTCAATCTGCCGCACTGTGGCCTCGGCCAGGATGCGGCTCATGATATCCAGCAGCTTGTGCTTCTCCATGTAGTACATATACGCAGCGCTGAACTCGGCGAGTGCGGATCTATCCATTCTGATGCCAGTGGCCATGACTGCAATAAACACTGAAGCAACAAATTCTATAAATGAAATTAATTGTCGATATACAAGGTAAATTTAATATAATATGTATTTCAAGTGATTCTGCTTATTCCAATGATACGGTATGCTATATACTAAAAATAATTATTCGATTTGACGCTTTGCTCCAGGCTCTTCCAGCCTTTAGCTTTGTTTCTGCGCATTCGGAAACTGAGCAGCAAAGCAAAGCTTAAAGGCAAAATGTCTTCCCTGATGACATACACATAAAAAAGTTGTTTGGTAGGTATGTAAAAGGAGTATATTAGTTTTGTGCAAAATTGAAAAGTTTTTATAATTGAAAATCTATTTGATCTCATAAGTGAGCGAAAATTATAAATAGAGCGGGAATTTTTAATAATTGCAGTTGTATTTCAGTTAACTTCTGCTACAGATGGTTATATGGTATGATAAATAGCGAAATTCAATTGAATTAATTGAATAAGCCACAACTTAGAAAGTTCATATATGAACTATGTGAACTATATGAATATAAATTATATATGAACTATATGAGCTCTGAGTGAACTACATATATATTTATATTAACTAAAAACAAATTATGTATGAACTATATGAACATTAAAGAAATATATTTTTAAGCAAAATCAAAAAAAAAAAATGTAGTAAATTGAATCGAAAATCTAATTGAATTTTGAACATGAAAAATCATTTTCACTTTAGGCTAGCTGGCAACTGATCTTAATTAGCTTTCATCTATTCTAGTTACAGACTAAGATTAAGAGTGCAGAGGAATCTATTAAACATTAAATATTCTAGTCTAATATAATATAATAAAAATGCGCTAGACAGTCTAAGACAATCAGAAAATGTAAATTCACTTCGTTCCATACTTCATAAAATTACTGTGATTGGATGTCTTTAGAGGGTTTCTTAGAGTTGTTGCTATTTCTTCTCCCTTAATACTTTAGCAATTATCGCGCATTATATGAGCGCAGTGGCCATTAGGATTAGGCCAATTGTGGAAGAGTTGTTGGCACATTCATTGCGCATATTAATTACATCCGTTGCAATATTAGAAAATGGCGCGCACTTCCGGCGCAAGGGCGGGCCAAGAGTGGCTGAGATGGGACATAATGGCTAATGTCTTGGCCAGGCGTTGTAAATTGGCATCATGTAAGTACTTCCACATAAGTTGCTTGACAATATTTTGCTGCGAATTATGACAGCTCTTTTGTCTGAGCGCTCGCATTAACAATTTAAAAAGTTGTCTTGGCCTCGGCAGCTCTTGGCATAAAAGAGAAGGAGGAGGAAAAGCAGGAGGAGGTTTTTGGTGACGCTGCTAACGGCCCGCAAAGTGTTGCCAAATGGCTGTCATACTTTATATTGTGTTATGAGACATGCCAGGGCATGTCTAAGTCTTGGCCAAGCCAGTCGCTAAGCAAAAATGCAAGCATGCCACAGAGGACTCTGCTGCATACTCATATCAAGCGAATCGTTGTTGCTGTTGCCTGCTCATTTGTTTAGAGTGGGCGGCTAATAAAAACTGGAATTCTATGAAAAATTGTTTCCTGTTGCTGGCTTTGGCTCTGGCTCTGGCTCTGGCTCTGTCACTGGCTTCGGCCATAGCGTCTTATATGGTCATATTGTTATGCCAAGTATGCTGTTAATATCTTTCACATACTAATATTGCTCGGTGCATTTGCTTTTCGATTTACTTGACCGAGAGCAGCAGCTGTCCCTGCTGATGCGAGCTGCTGCAGCTTTAAGTAATCACAGCCTCAGCGACATCAAAATATGAATATAAATGCTTTGGCCTGTCGCCGGGCACAAAGCGCAACTTTTTAATTAAAGCCAAAGCCAAAGTCAAAGCGAAAAGCAAAAGCGATTTCCACAGCGGGCGACAGCTTTTCACAGTTCCTCAAATTTTGTCACATTTCTCCGAAATGTGCTAAATTACATTTCATCATGCACATACATCCATACATATATGAGATAACGTATTCGTTTTAATCGTTAAACAAAAAAATACTACAAAAATTGAAGGGAATGCAAGAAATCTTGACGTATCTTGGCTAAAAGATGCGCTGTGAAAATATTTGAACTAAGCTCAAATTATATTTACTTAGACTTTGCATTAAGAAACAAATATTAAATATATATATATATGCATATATATATATATATATATATATATATAAATATGAGCTTTAACCCGTGTTTCAGCTCTTTTCGTTTCAATTAATTTGCCTTCATTTCCGTTTGGCAACAATAGGTAAATAAATATATATATATATATATAAATATATATATATATATATATATATATATATATATATATATATATATATTTATTTACCTATTGTTGCCAAACGGAAATGAAGGCAAATTAATTGAAACGAAAAGAGCTGAAACACGGGTTAAAGCTCATAAATTCTATTTATAAATATATAAATTAATTTTATTGAAATATCCCAGAGCCAGACGTCAAAGTGGAAGTCTGCTTATCTCAGACAAGCTGCTCACTTATAGTGTACTTAACCTTGCTACTTATTGATTAGCTTAAATCAACTAATGTAGTATCTTCATTTTGCTAAGCTCAGAAAATTATTGCATAACAAGACAAAGTTGAATCCTAGAAGCAGTTAAAGAAAGCTACAACTTCATGTCTAGAACTCGCACTTCCTATTATACCTTAGCTTAATCATCTACAGGGTATCGTGCAGAAAAAGTCCAAGAGAAATGCGTGCCACAAGCAACGCTTTCGTTTGACGCAGTTGCGCTTATCAGAGAAGTTTTTATGAAATGAAGAAAAGATTTCGTAGCGGTTTTCTATCCAACAGACGCGTTGATTGAATGAAGCTGCGAAACGAGAGCACACGCAAATGCTACCAGTCCGCAAAGGGGGACAGCTGAGACCGAGACTGAGGCGGGCGAGGCGGGGCGGGGCAGGTCCATCGGACGACGACAGCTGATAAGGCGAAAAAGTGACGGGCAGTGCTTGGCACTTGGCCGTTGGCACTAAGCCTGCTTCGCGTAGCAGTTGAAACTATGCCTCGTTTAGATTGCTGCGCACTTGAGTCGCCGTTTCATGTTGCCGCACGTTGCAACGTTGTGGCAAAGGCAAAGGCAAAGGCAAAGGCAAAGGCAAAGGAAAAGGGAAAAGAACAGATCGAAACTTTTATCGCATTGCATACGAAGTCAGCGGCCTTTCGAGTCAGCTTGGCGGCAATTGCAGTTCGTCTGGGCGCATGTTATCTGCCCCGCTGCTTGCCGCAGACACACCCACACTTACGCGCACACACTTCCTGCGGAAATTGCGTGCAACGTGTGACGCAGTCAATCGTCTTTGCGCCCTTATCAAATTCACAATTGCGTCTATACGAACTTTATCAGACAATGCCTGCATAATTTTTGTGCTGCGGTTAAACGCAAAACATTCAACAATTAAAAATCGTTTTTCCACACACACACACACACACACACACACAATTGCTAGTCAACTTCACAGACATATATTTCCCTAGTGTGTGGCACATGCCACAAAAAATAGAGAGAAGGAAAAAATACATAACCACACATCAACACGCAGTCAATGTCCACACCTCGATATTTTTGCGACCAGCAGAGGAGCAGCTTCGACAATTTGCCATTGGCTGCCAATATTTGTATTTTTTTTTTTGCCATACGTGAGGCATTGTCCTGGGCGCTATGTGCTCGTTGCCTTCAATTATGCAACAATTGAAAAATTACGACATGCACAGCGATTTTTTTTGCGATTTGCTGAAGGGTTGCCTTAGCTGCTGCTGCTGCTGCTGCTGCCACCCTCAATGTGGCAATGACAACAGGTTTTAAATTTGTCACCACAACAAACAGTGGCAAAAACAAAACGAACAACAACAACCTGGGCACAACAACGTTGTTCATGACAAACGCCAAATGAAGCACAAATTTAATTACGCAATTTTATTGGATTAACAGCAACCTGGGCCATGGAGTAGCTGGGCCCAGCCACGGCGCATAAAAACAAGCTTAAATAAGCCGCACACACAGACACATGCTCACAGACACAATCGTATGTGTGCGTGGCAGCTGTCCAGCTCAAACCCTGAAAGATTTTTGCCATCTTTACTGCTTCTAGTCGCGTAGGTGAGCCGTAAATTTGCGCGCCATTGTTGACTGCCTGCCCCAGGTTGTTGTTGCTGTTGTTGTTGACGCCAATGTCGTGTGTCCTGGCCACATGGCTGCAGCCATGGCTATCTTCCTTTTTGGCCTTTCACTTATGCAAAACGAAACATTTGAAAAATATGTTGGCTGGATAAACAGAAAGGCAACAAAGTGCAGCTGATGCCAGTCTGGGGCAAACAGTTTTCAGTTTTCCATTCCGGCTCCAACTCCATTTGCAGTGACGTTTTAATGAGTATGCAACGTGCAACGTGCTGCATGCAAGTCGCCCTCGTGCCGTCCAGACGGCAAAGCCTTGTTAAATTCATTAGTAAAACGTTGCACCTCAACGCACAGCCAGCCAGAGGTTGGGGCTTGGCTGCCACACGTTCGGCATCATGTTGCCGCTGCCGTACACGAAATTAAAACCCCATGCCAAGCACACATCAGCCCGCCCTCCCTCTCTCCCACACACACACACACATACTGAGAGGCAGTGGCAATCTGTGGAACAACATGACATGATACCGATACTAAACTGACACTTTGACATGGACTTAACCCTAAAAACGCTTTGTTGGCTTTATTGGTGTCGGTTGCCACCAATGCCATCGTGTTTACCGTATGCCACCACAACGGTCTGGGCGTCGGGGGGCCGTGTGGGCCGGCTGGGCCGTTTGGCACTGTCAGCACAGCCAGCAATGGCCGTGGCAAAGGTATCGCATCCACTTGATTTTTGCACTAATTTACGTGGATTAAACGCTTGGCGTAGGGCCTGACCTGGGTATTATGTTTAAATACCTTTTAATTGACAATTTGTGTTCAGCATCTGACGGTTGATTTTGTTTAATTATGTCTGCCCCATCCATCCCAACAGGGCCAGCTCAGCAAACATGTGAGCTTAATGTTTGCTCATTCATTAGTTAAGCCAAATATAGTTGGGCAGCAAAGGCAAAGATTAATTGACCTTAGCTCCGAATTGCTCTATTGGTATTGG